TTGGCATATTTCTACCAAAGAAAGCTGTATTAGCAGAAACTAACTATGGTCCGTTTCTATTCTTACTAGGACCTATCTATGGACGAAATACAAGCGAAATCAATTTTTCGACTTGTGCCATTGATACGCAATTTAGGTCCATTTTTATAGGCATTCACTCTTAAAGATTCATCATGATGTCTGGGCTGTTGAGTCCACCTTGAGACCATGTTCTTCAGTCAACTGTTTACCAATTCCGTTAATCCATGAAAAACGACCAGACCGAGTTTGGGTGACACTCTATTCTTTCTGAGAAAACTATTCAATTCTAATATATTTGGTATGGTGTTTGAGTCCTACGCATTCTTTCCAGTGAGTCGAAGCGGGACTAGGGCAAACCACACTGGACCGGTGTGGTGATGATGTAATCAGGTATCAGCACGCACAGTCACCTAAAAAGTCTGGATACAGTGTTTTCATTGGCCAAACTTGATCACGTGCAGTAAATATCCATGTGCTTGTGGTATGCCCGAGTGGTATTTCGTTTTGACTTGTTACAGCGCAAACGCAAGCATAAGCCTAGCTTTCACTTGCGACGCAGGCACATGCGCATACACAAACGCAAACGATAGGGATGACCCAAGTGAAAACGAAATTCGACGCAAACACGAGCACAAGCAAAATCATCCGAACCTTCCGGCATTTTAGAAAACTGTTTAGGCGAGAGGTAATCTGGGTCCAGTGTTTTCAGTGACCAAATACAGCCACGTGCGGTAAATATCCTTGTGCTTGTGTTATTCCTGAGCGGTATTTCGTCCAAACGCAAGCATAAGCGCAAGCACAAGAAAAAGGAAAAATTTTGATCCTTGTGCTTGCGCTTGTGGTTATGCCTGCGCGGTCAAGTCCGTTTTCACGGTGAAATGACACAATTATTTCACTAGCGGCGCAAGCACAAGCGCAAGCACAAGTGCAAACACAATTCTTTTACATTTATATTCGCACAAGATTCTATTCATCTTCGATTTGATGATGACGTTAGGCGAACGTCGAAAACGTCAAAAATGTTTCAGCTTTTTTATCCATTAACCAAATGGTTTTAAGGTTGTCAATTTTTTCGCAATTATTTATAGATCATTATAGATCATTATTTATCAATATGAATTTTATTTTCGAGCCGTAAAAACAACATATTACGAACGAGCTCAGCGAGTAAAATATTATTTTTAATACGAGAAAATAAAATTCATATCTTCAAGCCACCGTGTGATTTTCTTTTTATTATATAGAAAAAAAACTGACGGTTTGCACAAACAACCGTGAAAAGCGAGAAATGACGTCATCTTCCTCACCAGGGAGGTTATGGAAAACACGGCACTCGGGTCCCGGATTTAGTTCGTATGAATTTTACGAGTGTTGCATTTTCCAGTAAAAAACAGTCGTTTCTTTGTGATAGAAATGTATGCTCCAGGAATGCTCTCACGTTTCAGTGCTAGTTCTGCCTAATGCCTCGGTATCTACAGTGGACTGAGGAGAAGTTTACTTTTGGAGCCTGTCGAAATACTACTAAAAATGTTTGTACTACGGATGATTGTCTTCATTTTGTTTATCGCCAGGATTCTTCTTTCCTGGTGAGATGATTATTTACAAATACTTCAAAGTCCTTGGTAGAGGGTTTATCTAAATCAGTAAAATTTTGAAATCTTCGTTGAATCATGGTCTCACTTGTGTCTCGGTTTTCTTTCGTGTCCTCTTTCCTTAGTTATCTGTCAATAGAGCACTTTTTCCATGTTTGCATAGCCTCATCTAAACACGAGGAGGGCTGGGAGAATTCGAGACAGTTATGCAAACTTTCGAGAATTCTTCCAGCTCGCCGATTGCTTAGATGAGGCTATGTAAACATGGAAAAAGTGCTTTATTGCTTTTACAAAATAATTCTAAAAAACACACGCGAATCTAAAACGTCACAACCGTGTTTACATACTCTCATCTCAACACACCTATCGACCAATGAGAGCGCGCATAGTAGCTCAGTTATTTTATAAATTTGAATGACTACCTGTTTGGGAGGAAGTAAGCTAGTTACATAACAATTAAGTTCACTCGTTGACAACAACAATCTCCGCTGGCAAATTATCTTTTTATTGAGCTTACCCAGCTATTGAAATACTTTTTGGCCGTCAGTTTTAAATAAAAACACGTTACAAACTTTCCTAAATTAACTGAACGCAATTTAAATATGAACCGTAAACATGATTCTGCAAGTTTAAAATGTCCGGCAAGAAGCTGAAGTTCGATCGCACACCATATTAAACTTTACGCTAAAACATATGAACTGTTGTGGACTTCATAGTGAAGGTCATTCGGTATGACTTGCAGCTTCCTGGAAATAAGCCTTCACAATAATGTTTTGGCCAACAAGTTAAAAAAAACTATCTTAATTTTACTACCCTTTATAAAGTTATAAAAATACTTTGTTCCCAGTGCTAATTAAAAACAATTAATTTCGTGACTCCATTTGGATGATGTTTTCTTTTTATCCGGAGTAGCGGTGTTAAATGCTACAGACAAAATCTGGTTGTCTTTTGAATTGGTTGATCATGATCCCTTCGACTCGCATCGGCTTAATCTTCCTCGTCTGCTGATTCACCAGACTCTCCAGATTCACCAGACTCACCGGATTCACCAGACTCACCAGATTCACCAGACTCACCGGATTCACCGGATTCATCGGATTCACCGGATTCACCGGATTCACCGGATTGGCCGGATTCGCCAGACTCGTCGGATTCACCAGATTCGCCAGAATCACCGGACTCTCCCGATTCGCCAGATTCGCCAGATTCCCCTGATTCTTCGGAATTAATAAGGCTTCGCTTCCTTACTTGCATACCGTCACCTGATTCTTGGAAGTCTCCGGAGTCACCAGATTCGCCTGATTCATCCATATCATCGGAATCAAATAAACTTCTTCGCTTCATTTCTTGACCTTCACCAGAATCCTCGGATTCTCCGGAATCACCCGAATCTTCTGAGTCGCCAGAGTCACTATAGTCACCAGAATCACCCGAGTTCTCCGAATCTCCCGATTCTTCGGAAAGATCCTTTTCTTGGACTGAGCTTGAATCATCTACGATGTCTAAAGATTGTACGAATAAGGAACTCAGCAACACTAGCATCATATCTTTTTATTCGCGTAAATATTTAAACAGATTTTATAGGCTAAAGAAACTGTGCCGTAATTTTTTCCATATATGTTTAAGCCTCAAATTATCCTCAAAGGAACTCAGAATAATAGCTTTTTACGATAAAACAAACCAAGAGGGTATTACAAACCAAACAGCAGCAAGGTTGTCTAGTGCTAAGGAAGACTGATGAAAAGCTTAGAACAACGAACGTGATAAATAGGACCGCGAAGTTTTCGAGGTTGGTTTTTTCGCTAGCGACATAAGCACAAGATCAACAAATAAAAAATAAGCCAGATATATAAACTGAGCACACTCGCCTTCTCATCGTGTCGTACCCGGGTTCGTTATATTTGCACTTGTGCTTATGTCACTACTGTCCCCTCTAACTTATACTTGTAAAACAAATCATTATTCTTTTGCTTGTGGCTGTGTCGCTGACAGGAAACACACACAGTTTAAAAGTCTACGTTTCATATCTTTCGTTAGCGCTTGTAGAATATGTGTGATCTGTGTCATAAGAAAAACGTTACTTGTAGGACAATTTAGCAATGTTACAGGTCAGAAGCTAATCAGCTGGACTAATCAATCAGTTGTAGTAATTGAGTCTATACTGCTACGGGCTGGTGAATTGACTGATCTTTTTACTTACCATGAGGTCGTGACAAACAACAGTGTAGAGATGAAAGAAGTACACAAAAAAGGAGCAGGTGATGGGACAGCTTCATATTCTAATAAGAAAACGAATGGTGACTGTCACTCAGAATCAACTGCTTCCATTTTCACAAATCATTGCATTGCATTTACGATTTTCAGCTGTTTCCTCGCATAGCAACCAAATATACAAGCGATCGATTGAAACCAGTAAGCCACAAAAGAAAGACTTTTTCACAGCCTGAATAAATACTAACGCTTGGGCAAAATCAAATCAATTCAAAAAGCAATCTATAGCTACCCCTGGTACTTTGTTTCAGATCAAATCATGACAGAGAGAAATTTGTGTTGCGCTAACTACTTTTAATTCTGTGCATCGTGCAAACCAGTGACTTGTGTGTGATTATTTTCTGTGATGCGGATTTCAAGCAAGTAAACAGCGGTTTGACTATAAATACCAGTTTAGTACAGACAGCTTTTTCCATTACTTAATTTAAAACGTGATTGCTAAACTGACTGGAGCTTGATCCTTTCTTTGATTTAACTCCCTTAAACTCCATGATGTGTGGTTAATCCGTTCGATATGAAACTTGACCAATGTACATGTAGCTGATGAATTGCTTTATGCGTGTTTTTTAAAAAATGAAACAACGGGCCAAGCAAAGCGACATGTTTATTTGTTATCACACCTGTTTGAACAGACTCGTTATTTTCGATCAATGCGGTATTTTGTAGTGCCGCATATAATTTCACCAAACTGTCAGCAACCATGTAAAGAGAAGGAATACTAGAATTCCATAAGTAAAATTGCGACTAAAAAATTGAGTGAATGAACTCATCAGACTGGGTCACTCAAATCAAGCGAAAAAGAGAGACACATTAACTTAGTCATTAATAAATAATACCACGAGAAGTGCAACCAGCTAATAGACGAAACTCGCCAAAGACACGCTCACAATCCGACAAATAAAAAATGCCTGCAAGGCTGATCTTTTTTTGTCGTGAAGTACATACTACTTAACTCTTTAATTGAGGAAATAAACCGTCTAACTGAAAGATGTTCACGGCAAAAGAGGGCATGGTCACAGGGTCAGCGAATCATAGGTACCTGCCTAGTCAACCGACTACAACCCGTCAATGGAAGCTAATGGGGCACGTCGTGGTTCAATGAGTTGATCGCTATCACCTATGACGAACACTGATCACTCGTATCCGTTTTCATTCATGTTCACGTTGTCGAGGAAACTGTCATAAAGACAATCGATTTCATACGGCTTTTAGCGAAAACGACAAAAATTATTGATCTGCAGGTTATAAAGTGGTAAATCTCATCCTCATATAACTCGGTAAAATAACTCGCCAATTGAACTGCTAGCATATCAATATAATTTTTCAACTGTTTTGCTGTGGTATATGGGTTCAATGAACGAATAAATTTTCAAAGCATTTTCTGGAACGCTATTGAACTGAGCCAAATTTGAACAAAAGACTCTTCTTTCAAATTCGATCGTGAGCATTTGATTTGTGATCTTTAGCTTACAGAATTACGTCCAATTATATTTTATAGAATACGCATTCAACATGTGAGAGGAATACTAATTTCGTAAAGTAAAAAATTTCGACGCTGCAAAGCAATAATCCCGAACAGCCGAAATACATTTCGCCAAACAAATGAATCTGAAATCATATGAATCTTTAGTCGCGTAAATCGCCCTTACTATCAATAAGAATTACAAGCATTCTTCATTATCGACCAGCAATTACGTTGTTATCATAACTAAACTATTTTAACTTACCACTTTAGTTTTCTTTCCTAAACAGTGTCCTGCTGTTTACGATGGGCAAACAAAAATGAAAGCTATAGATATTTTTAAAATATATTTAAAGATTAACCAATCAGAAACAACCTACGTGTCTGCAATCCGCACGCATACACCACGTGATCAGTTAGACCAAGAAGTTCATCGAAAAATTCGAAATTACTTTGCCTCCAAACCGATACACCCGGAAAAGTAGCAAAGCTATAAACAGCCTAAACGTGTCATGAATAGTGGGAAGGAAGCAAATTTTTTTGGGAAAAAAGTTTTTTTGGTGTAATGCTGCCTGCACAAAAACTTGAATTTGCTGAAAATGATAAATTAATAACCGGGGTCAAAAGTACCTGACTAGAGCAGCGGGTGACGACACTTCAAAGGACTAAAGAGAGGCAGGACACCACCCCTCTTATACTGGATTAGCTCCTGGTCAAAGGTTGTGCTGTATTGTTTGTTTAGTAATTAGGCATTAATTCTAATGTATTTTGTGAGGGTCGGTGTAAATAAAGCAACATACTGTTGTATTGCTGAAATGGGGAAAAAATGCTTGTGCTCTTCTCTGTTTAGTTTTGTTTTGTGCCAGAAGAACCGAACTTCAGGAAAGTACGCTGGGAAAGTACTTCTTTAGTACTCTCGATACGTCGGCAGCAAAGCAATTTTATTTGTTTTGCACATTGTCGATTAACGTCTTCCCACACTTTACATTTACATTCCTTAAGTCACGCAAGCATGCGTAGAATGTATGTGGAAGGAAATTGAACTGAAGGCCAAAACTGGATCCTGCGTCGACCTTCGTCCACCAAGAAAATGTCGTTTATTCAAAGGGTTAATAACCCGTCCAGTTTACATTATCGTCATTATCCATTGGCTATTTAACGGTCTTTTGTTATATGAGTAGTATTTGTGGGATCAGTGTTTTTCATTTTCTCCTTTCACCGATTTATCTGGAATTACCCGGGCTTTATAATTGTCAGTTGCCATTCCAAGCGACGATATCGTCCACTAGGGTTGACATTTGGTAAACTTATAAGGTGATATATACTTTGCACCAGGCTTACAGGACGTCGTCAGGTGCTATAGGTATAAATGGGATAGTCAGTATCTAAAAGATCATAAATCCAGTTTTGGATTTCATGCAGTGTGAGCTAAAGAACCAAACGTGAAACGGAGCAATGTAACATGTTTAAAATGGAAGGGTCAAACGTAAGAGCCACAGGAAAACTGAAAGACGGCTTAACTGAAAACCACATTTCATTCAATACATAACCATTTTCGCGAACATGTAAGCCCAGAGTAAATTGGCATGTAGAGTACACGTTGCGTCTTCGTGTAGTGACACAAAAAGTGCAAGCAATATATACTACATAGGACACACTATACAAGTGAATCGTTTATTTACATAACGTTAAGGATGTTTACATACTCTCAGTGAAGTTAGCACTGACACCAATAAAACAGGGCTAAGATAAATCAAACTGACTATGTACATATCGAATATGTAATTTTGTACAATCAGTAGCACCATGCACGTCGTTCAAACAAATGTTCTCGTAGAGTCCAGGGCTACTTATTTCTCGTGGTGTGGGTGTGCGTTCACCCTTGGGCATGTGTAACTTATAACAAGCCGAAAGCGGCTAGCAGGTGGACCCCTGGCAGGACCCCTGGCAGGACTGGATTGTTCACACTACTTGGGTCCTTTCTTTTTCTTGGTCGGAGACTTGTCTGAACCTGCTGATCCGGGATGTTGCGATTTCTTAGGATGTGCCTCGCGCTTGGTGATCTGCAAAGTACAATAACACCACTATTATGATACACTAACTACCTTGAAGCAATGAGGTGATTAAGTTCATGACTGGGGGGAAGGTGTCATTACGTATCGCGCTCACTTCACAATACTGACGCCTGGTAAATTAAATTGTCCTCAAGAGCAGTGCTTTCGTAATTAAAGAGAAATAATAAAGTTTCACAGTACGCAAAAGAATTGGCTTACCCCTTTCAAAATTTTGTTTTTCAGTTCTTGTTGGGTGAGCGGTCGTTGTTCATCCTCGGAACCCGATGAACCATCCGAATCATAATCGTCGCCAGTCGTCGGAGGAACAATTGCTACAGACGCCATTCCTGGCTGAGGTCCCTGACCCAAAAGACCCACTGCCACCGCGGGCTCACCCTCACGATCAGACTCCTGAAAACGAAAGTACACTTTAACATGGTGGTCTGGGAAAATTATGTAAAGAAACAAAATAATTGCATTTAAAAATACTCACAAGTGCTAAGAGGTTTACCTTTGTGGTGATAAATCCATGAACTTGAAGAAGCTCATTTGTCCTTTGCTCGATCAAACCAAGAAACTGAAAACAAAATACAATGGAAGCTTACACATACATAACATCAACAGTGGTAATGACTCTTATTCAAAAACAGGCACCTCTTTTCAGTTGCGTAATCTGATTGTTGCGGCTTTATATGTCTTATATGTTGTCAGCGGCGAGACTAAATTTTCTGTTCTTGGTGTCCATCTAAGTTGTCGCAGTAAAATACAAAGAACTGATAGAGTTACCTGCATCATGTTGGCCTCAGTGACTCCAGATGCTCCTCCCAACATGTCAGTTATGGCACTGCGATCACAATTGATCTTGTTAAACAGCGAGTCCACTCCTGAAAATAAAACAGGATTTGTTTAAAATCCAAAGAACCATGTTTGAAGTAAACATGGGCCCTACGAAAAATAGTGTTCCCTGTTTTGTACTCTGATATAATATGAGAATAAGGGGTTTCAGTCGGCACTTTGACTATCAAATCTATAGAAACACAACCCGTATCGTAATGACTCCTAGCGCCCTCTCCTGGTGAAAAGGTAAGGATCTTTCAAGGATTCTTTCTTTAGAGGATATTGCAAAGATCTTTGCAAGGATTTTCCAAGATCTTTGAGCAAAATCTTTCACTAATAAGCACCCCCTCTTCAATAGCTACCCTCTATCAAGATACCATAACCGGATTGTCCCCAGTCCCCGAGTCGTACATTACACCACGTGGTTTGGGAATCGCTTAATGGTTTAGCAGGCTGAGAAATTGGAAAATACAAATTATGAAAAAAACACAAACATTTTGTGCTTTGACTGCGTTGACACTCTGTAGAGATACGGAGAATCTGCAAATAATGTACTTTGTAATACTGTACTTAGCAACTACAGGAAGCAGTTGTTTACACTACAGACACCTGATTTAAGTTGTTCCAGTATTTTCTTGCTCTGTTTATACTGTGTGTCGTACTGATCAGCTTGTTCAGTACTTGAAGACAAGCTGTCCTCTAGATCTTTGAGGAGAGCCTTCCTTTGGGTAGCCATCTCCACTTCCTCACTTTTGAACTTCTCAATTTCTGCCTGATTCTGATCACAGAGACAACAGCCCAGGAATATTAACAATGAGAAACATTAAAAAAATCTTCGTGTCTTAAACAATTTTGACGCAAAAACAAGATGTGCAAGATGTTTGTCTCAAGTAGGGTTCCCAGTGGTTTTCTGATCAGCTGGCTGAAGATATATTACAAGAGGCTTCATGATATTATGTCTGATGACCATTCCATTGCTACTCAAGCCTTGTAATTTTTAACCAAAACAGGCCGCTACTTTTGTCTTGACAGGAGAGGAAAACCTGTCTGTTTTGATCTTCGACTGAGAACTCTGCTCAACTCTGAGGTATAATTTAAAATGATATGTGTGCGAGATGTGAAACCTTTTGGGTGTTTAAAATGTACAGCCCAATGACCTTTTGGGCATAATTTTTGTAATTTGAGAATTTTTGGTAAGGCTGTTTTTTGGAGCTGACAAAAAGCACACAGTCTAATAATCTCACCTCATTTGCACCCCCTCCCCACCAACTGAAAGGTATACATGAGTGTAACATGCAACTGAATCATCACTAAAATAGTTTAAAAATCTTTTGAAGTATTTTTACCTCATTAATTTGTTCTTGTAGCAGTTCAATTTCATTGTTTAGTTCATTAACATAATTGAACAGCGCAAAATTCTTGTCCTCCACTTCAATAAACTTGGATACCAACAGATCAATATCCTCAATACCAGTGGCCTCTTTGATTGTCTGGAAAGCTGCCTCGTATGACTACAATAAAACAACACAAACTGATTTGACATTCTTCTAAACACCACACAAAAACAAGCTGAACACTGTAGAAAGCGAAAAAAGATTCCTGGATTTGGATATCTGTCTGTGTGCCTCCTTCATCACTTATTTGTTTTATTTGTACATATAAACCACTGCCATGGTCACTTTTGCAGAGCACAACGTATTTCTTTGAGCCATTCTTATCTAAAGCTGTTTTCAATTTAGTGTCTAAAGTCAGTCGCATTTACTTAAGTTTTTGCATTGTACACTGATTGTAATTACAAAAAAGTTGTGCCATCTTGTCATCCAATCTAAAGTAAAACCAAAACCAATAGCAACTTGCTTCCATGTTTTCCCATGCTAGTATCCGCTACATGCACATGTATTTTTTTCTTTTTTTGATTGGTTCACTAGATTGTCTGTGTAGTTTGTGACCGGCCAGAGTGATTACGTTGGTTTTGGTTTTACAATACTCAATTGAAAATTGCTCCCATTTGATTTTAAAAGAGTAACAACTAGTCCTCAAAAAAATAATCTGTGGGCAGCACACTACAAAAAACATATCATAAGTAGGAAGGTTTAATGCAGGCAAATTTTTCCAAATAACATGTGAAGGTGCTATCTCTGAGTGCTTCCACTCTCTAGCAATCAAATGAACTTAAACTGTTGGGACAGGAGATAATTAAATTTAACATGGAATGTCCTCCCTACCTCAATGGTTTCCTCAGCTTTGTCACCTCTTTCTTTCTCATCCTTTTTCTTTCTCTGAGATGACAATTCACCCTCCATCATTTCAGCTCTCTCTTCACTTTTTATCCTCATGAATTCTTTAAGTTTGCGATCATGTTCAATGATGCGCATCAGCTCCTTGAGTTCAGTATTATACTGAGCTAAATCTTTATCGGCTTTCTCTTTTAATGCCATCATCTTTCCCTGCGCTTCATCGCTATAAACAACAAAAATTTAAACATATATTTAATTAATTTTAGAAAATAGTGCAAAGAAAATATGCACACTGATTGGTTAAAAATTGTGTTTCTATGACTCAATAGAAACACAGAACTAACACAAGCGGTTGACATAATGATGGCATGAGCAAAGAGAATTACATTTTGATGATCAAAGTAAGCAAGCCATTTTCTTTTATCTGTTGTGTTTTTTTCTAAAAGAAATTAAAGACGTGTTCTTCATGCTTCTATTGAGTTTTAGTATAAATCTACTAGCGTTTTATCATGAATGTCGTTCTCTGATTGGCTACGCTACTATCTATTCTTTGATAGATAGTGAGTAGCATAGCAGTGTGCCCTTGTTAACAAAATGACAGTCACTTCTTGGCATTTTTGAAGTCACTGACAGTATGTGAAGAGGATTTAGACAAAGTTTTGAACGACTAGTAGATTTATACTAAAACAATTAGATTATTCGCTCTAGATTTCTATGCGTAATAGAAATCTCGAGCTCATAATCTAATTGTTTAATAGAAACACTTGTGAAAGTTTGAGAAAACTCGAAAAAGCTGTGGTTACACTGTTGGCTAGTGTTCCCACAGCATTTCTCATTCCCCAAACTTCCACTCCTGTTTCTATTAAACAATTAGATTATGAGCTCGAGATTTCTATCGCACACAGAAATCTAGAGAGAGAAATCTAATTGTCTTAGTATAAATCTACTGGTCATTAAAAACTTTATCTAAATCCTCTTCACAGACACTTCAAAAACACCAAGAAGCAACCGTCACTTTGTTAACAAGGAGACACTGCTACGCTACTCACTATCACAGAATAGCTGGTGAGTAGCGTAGCCAATCAGAGAATGCCGTTTGTGATAGAATGCCAGTAGATTTATACTAAAACTTGATGGAAACATGGTACATGTACATGTTTTCTATTTCTTACATAATGGCGTCATCAGGTATAAGAAGATAAAACACCACTTAAGTGTGGGAGTTATAAGGAACAGTAATGACAAGCAGGAGTCAATAAATTTTATTTACTTTACTTATAAGTTAAGAACAAAAATAAATAATAAAATCTACCCTTTGAATTTTCCTGTCATTTGTCTCCTTCATTAACTAAGATCTGCTTGTTTGTTTTAGATATTATGTAATATCACATTAAATTATTACCAACCGAGCCTCATAAGCTGCTGTTGAGGTTTCAATTCCTTCCATAATATTCTGTTTGTTTTCCACTAACTCCTTCTCCAGTTTCAAGCGAATGGTGTCAAAAGTCTTCTTCTCCAATCGCATGTGATCAAATGTTTCACGCAGATTACCATTTTCTGATAGGCAACAATTGAAGTCTATTTTGGCCTGCAAGAGAAAGGTAAAAAAAAGTCATGTTAAGCAAAAATAACTACCCATGTTCCCAAGTGGTTTCCAATAGGGTCCTGATATCAGAAGACAGATGAACACTTTTAGATAAAACACAGTGCTCTTGACTTTTGAAAGACTTGTTTTAACAGTCACAGATTCTGTCATCGTCAGCTTAACAAATAGATTCCATATTGTCATGTGTCTGTTCAGTAATTGATCAGAGACGACGTCAAAATGTGGTAAGAACAAAAAAGTGGCTCAAAAGGCAATAGCTGAGTCTGTCACTGATGTTCCTACCACATTTTGACATCTTCGGTGATCTATTACTGAACAGATGCATGACAACAAAGAATTTATCTGTTTTATACAATAAAGAGACAAAAAAATTGTTGACATATAATTAATACAAAATAAATCACAGAGTTAATGACAGAAATAATGATTACTTAGAAATATACATCTACATTGTAAACTTAGAAAGCTATAACAGAACAGAAAAGGAATGCAGGGCAGGAAAAAACTCAGGTCCAATTACAAGGGGCAAGTAAATTTTGCTCTTGGGTTAGTGAAAATGGAATTTGGTGGTCCACTGGGCAAGTGAAATTAGCCTCTGTAGTCTTGTTAGTAATGATTTCCACTAAAGACTGCAAGATGAGCAAAACAATGAGTTGAAAGCATGGATTAATTTTAAATTCAAGCATAACACTATAGTCTTCCACTGACTATAGACTGCACCTAGTATATGATGTAGTTTATAACATGCATGAACATTGCACACCTACTGGGCAACTGGGCAACTGGATTTCATATTTTTCCTACCTTGGAATACATAGTTATCTCTGAACTACAATTATTATGGCAGTTATAAATTGGCATGTTTCAATTGTTGGTGTAAAGTAATAATACTCAAACAATAATGGCTGAAAATTAGTGCTCAGGCATGATCTAATAGTGGAGCTCCGCCAGCCCAAAGGGCCGCCAAGTGGAGCCCCATACTGATATAGGAAAGAAAAGGAAACTCATGAGTTGATTTTCTCATGGCTATCATGGCTAGCAGTATTGCTTGTGGGCGCTACGCACGGCAACGACAGAGTCATGCAACATGGTGGCCATACTCCAAATAATAGGTTGACAGGGTCATGCAGCCTTGGTTTACCGTGTACTTCTTTGATATTAGACATCCATGCTATGATCAATTGACACCTGTCAAAACAAGGTATCTGCTGACCAGTATCAGGTGAGCATATTGCCGGCTCAAGTTTACAGCTCATCGAGGTCACGTGTTTTTTGAAGTAGACCGCTGACCAAGTAATGTTTTTGAATGGATTGTGGGCTCATGTCAGGATAACTTGTTGAAAACCAGGCAGGATTGTTCGGAGGCCGGTTAAAACCCAGGATTAAAAGTTAACTGAATTATAACTTCTCCTATACAAATATCTTTTGCTGCTTTGTTTTGTGTATATGATGATTATTAAAACTCAAAACAGAAGGCCAAACAATATACAGAAAACCTCAAAAATTCTACCTTTTCCTGGGTTAGCTTAATAGGGCTTTGAACAACCCGGCCCAGGAGCTAAGTTTTTAGGCTGGCCTAAATCTATATATTACATGCTGAAGAAAAAGCTACATGTAGCCATTTCAAGAACACACTTTATATAAATCATATCAATGTAGTAAACATTAAAATGATAGACTGCTTTACCTTGTCTAATCTGTTTTCAAGAACTCTGATATATTTCTGAGTTCTCTTATTCTGCAGATGACTACTATGAACACTACAAAAAATAATTCAAAAGTATCACATGAATGGACAATTTTTGCATCAGCTCTTTAAACAAGTTCAGATATAAAGGATAGGGTTGAAACATTAGTCACACATGACTGTGTTCTTTCAGAAAAATCCATAAAATGAAGGGGTTTTGTTTGATCAACCACTCTCCCACTGGAAATTTCAGCATGGTTTCATGCTTTTCCATCCAAAAACATTTACACCTCCCTTTGGGAATTCCACAACCTCTGTGTGCTGAGTATGACCTGGTACTTCCTTCAATCACACATAATGAACCAGTCACATTTATTTATTTCTCCAACAAAAGCAACTTTAAAAAAAAATTACCGGTATATATTTGATGATTGAGGAACCTTAATTATTTTCAATTTTACACAAATTTATGTGACTCTACTAGCTGCCACACAATCATACAACAAGCCACTAAAAACTACATGTACATAAACATGTTGTACATAATTTTTGTACACTGTACTTGGCAATAAATTAACTACTTTCTTACCCTCCCATATTTTTTCTCTGTTGTTTAATCTTCTTCTCAATTACTCTTATCTGCAAAATTGATTTTAAAAAAATTAAACAAAGAACTTAATAATACTAAACCCTACAATATAAAGCGAAGTTTCTCTATGAACTCTCTTAAAGTCAATGATCGAAGCCTTCTCAAAATAATTAGTCCAAAAGTACATTATATCACAACCAAGTGTGAATATGGCAACTGTTTTTCTGATGTAACCAGAAAAACAACAAACTTGAAATTGTGTGGTTCCCGGTTGACCCCCCACCCCCCCAGGATTTTCCATCCCAGGGGGCTTCACAGTACTCCCCCCAACCCCTGGAATTTCCATGATTTTTCTACTTGGGCCCCCCTATCCCTTGGAAATTCCATATCCATAAAAAACAAGACTTAACTCATTAATTGTAATAAAATTTAGTTATAGTTACATTGAAGACAAAGATGTACTTTTTCACGCTAGACTGCACGCATGGCACGTTCCTTCATGTCATGTTAAAATGTTTGAACCGGAGTTTCAACTAACAAACAACTGACTTAGAAGTGCTTCACTCCCAAATGGCATAGCAGCTGACTTTTTCTTCACTAAAGGAAGTTTTCATGTAAGAATCTCGGAACGTAAATAAAGCTCTTTCAAATAACCCAGTCGAAGTTTTAATTTATGCATGGTCAAAACAACATATTGAATTACTTTACACANTTTGGGTGTTTAAAATGTACAGCCCAATGACCTTTTGGGCATAATTTTTGTAATTTGAGAATTTTTGGTAAGGCTGTTTTTTGGAGCTGACAAAAAGCACACAGTCTAATAATCTCACCTCATTTGCACCCCCTCCCCACCAACTGAAAGGTATACATGAGTGTAACATGCAACTGAATCATCACTAAAATAGTTTAAAAATCTTTTGAAGTATTTTTACCTCATTAATTTGTTCTTGTAGCAGTTCAATTTCATTGTTTAGTTCATTAACATAATTGAACAGCGCAAAATTCTTGTCCTCCACTTCAATAAACTTGGATACCAACAGATCAATATCCTCAATACCAGTGGCCTCTTTGATTGTCTGGAAAGCTGCCTCGTATGACTACAATAAAACAACACAAACTGATTTGACATTCTTCTAAACACCACACAAAAACAAGCTGAACACTGTAGAAAGCGAAAAAAGATTCCTGGATTTGGATATCTGTCTGTGTGCCTCCTTCATCACTTATTTGTTTTATTTGTACATATAAACCACTGCCATGGTCACTTTTGCAGAGCACAACGTATTTCTTTGAGCCATTCTTATCTAAAGCTGTTTTCAATTTAGTGTCTAAAGTCAGTCGCATTTACTTAAGTTTTTGCATTGTACACTGATTGTAATTACAAAAAAGTTGTGCCATCTTGTCATCCAATCTAAAGTAAAACCAAAACCAATAGCAACTTGCTTCCATGTTTTCCCATGCTAGTATCCGCTACATGCACATGTATTTTTTTCTTTTTTTGATTGGTTCACTAGATTGTCTGTGTAGTTTGTGACCGGCCAGAGTGATTACGTTGGTTTTGGTTTTACAATACTCAATTGAAAATTGCTCCCATTTGATTTTAAAAGAGTAACAACTAGTCCTCAAAAAAATAATCTGTGGGCAGCACACTACAAAAAACATATCATAAGTAGGAAGGTTTAATGCAGGCAAATTTTTCCAAATAACATGTGAAGGTGCTATCTCTGAGTGCTTCCACTCTCTAGCAATCAAATGAACTTAAACTGTTGGGACAGGAGATAATTAAATTTAACATGGAATGTCCTCCCTACCTCAATGGTTTCCTCAGCTTTGTCACCTCTTTCTTTCTCATCCTTTTTCTTTCTCTGAGATGACAATTCACCCTCCATCATTTCAGCTCTCTCTTCACTTTTTATCCTCATGAATTCTTTAAGTTTGCGATCATGTTCAATGATGCGCATCAGCTCCTTGAGTTCAGTATTATACTGAGCTAAATCTTTATCGGCTTTCTCTTTTAATGCCATCATCTTTCCCTGCGCTTCATCGCTATAAACAACAAAAATTTAAACATATATTTAATTAATTTTAGAAAATAGTGCAAAGAAAATATGCACACTGATTGGTTAAAAATTGTGTTTCTATGACTCAATAGAAACACAGAACTAACACAAGCGGTTGACATAATGATGGCATGAGCAAAGAGAATTACATTTTGATGATCAAAGTAAGCAAGCCATTTTCTTTTATCTGTTGTGTTTTTTTCTAAAAGAAATTAAAGACGTGTTCTTCATGCTTCTATTGAGTTTTAGTATAAATCTACTAGCGTTTTATCATGAATGTCGTTCTCTGATTGGCTACGCTACTATCTATTCTTTGATAGATAGTGAGTAGCATAGCAGTGTGCCCTTGTTAACAAAATGACAGTCACTTCTTGGCATTTTTGAAGTCACTCACAGTATGTGAAGAGGATTTAGACAAAGTTTTGAACGACTAGTAGATTTATACTAAAACAATTAGATTATTCGCTCTAGATTTCTATGCGTAATAGAAATCTCGAGCTCATAATCTAATTGTTTAATAGAAACACTTGTGAAAGTTTGAGAAAACTCGAAAAAGCTGTGGTTACACTGTTGGCTAGTGTTCCCACAGCATTTCTCATTCCCCAAACTTCCACTCCTGTTTCTATTAAACAATTAGATTATGAGCTCGAGATTTCTATCGCACACAGAAATCTAGAGAGAGAAATCTAATTGTCTTAGTATAAATCTACTGGTCATTAAAAACTTTATCTAAATCCTCTTCACAGACACTTCAAAAACACCAAGAAGCAACCGTCACTTTGTTAACAAGGAGACACTGCTACGCTACTCACTATCACAGAATAGCTGGTGAGTAGCGTAGCCAATCAGAGAATGCCGTTTGTGATAGAATGCCAGTAGATTTATACTAAAACTTGATGGAAACATGGTACATGTACATGTTTTCTATTTCTTACATAATGGCGTCATCAGGTATAAGAAGATAAAACACCACTTAAGTGTGGGAGTTATAAGGAACAGTAATGACAAGCAGGAGTCAATAAATTTTATTTACTTTACTTATAAGTTAAGAACAAAAATAAATAATAAAATCTACCCTTTGAATTTTCCTGTCATTTGTCTCCTTCATTAACTAAGATCTGCTTGTTTGTTTTAGATATTATGTAATATCACATTAAATTATTACCAACCGAGCCTCATAAGCTGCTGTTGAGGTTTCAATTCCTTCCATAATATTCTGTTTGTTTTCCACTAACTCCTTCTCCAGTTTCAAGCGAATGGTGTCAAAAGTCTTCTTCTCCAATCGCATGTGATCAAATGTTTCACGCAGATTACCATTTTCTGATAGGCAACAATTGAAGTCTATTTTGGCCTGCAAGAGAAAGGTAAAAAAAAGTCATGTTAAGCAAAAATAACTACCCATGTTCCCAAGTGGTTTCCAAAAGGGTCCTGATATCAGAAGACAGATGAACACTTTTAAATAAAACACAGTGCTCTTGACTTTTGAAAGACTTGTTTTAACAGTCACAGATTCTGTCATCGTCAGCTTAACAAATAGATTCCATATTGTCATGTGTCTGTTCAGTAATTGATCAGAGACGACGTCAAAATGTGGTAAGAACAAAAAAGTGGCTCAAAAGGCAATAGCTGAGTCTGTCACTGATGTTCCTACCACATTTTGACATCTTCGGTGATCTATTACTGAACAGATGCATGACAACAAAGAATTTATCTGTTTTATACAATAAAGAGACAAAAAAATTGTTGACATATAATTAATACAAAATAAATCACAGAGTTAATGACAGAAATAATGATTACTTAGAAATATACATCTACATTGTAAACTTAGAAAGCTATAACAGAACAGAAAAGGAATGCAGGGCAGGAAAAAACTCAGGTCCAATTACAAGGGGCAAGTAAATTTTGCTCTTGGGTTAGTGAAAATGGAATTTGGTGGTCCACTGGGCAAGTGAAATTAGCCTCTGTAGTCTTGTTAGTAATGATTTCCACTAAAGACTGCAAGATGAGCAAAACAATGAGTTGAAAGCATGGATTAATTTTAAATTCAAGCATAACACTATAGTCTTCCACTGACTATAGACTGCACCTAGTATATGATGTAGTTTATAACATGCATGAACATTGCACACCTACTGGGCAACTGGGCAACTGGATTTCATATTTTTCCTACCTTGGAATACATAGTTATCTCTGAACTACAATTATTATGGCAGTTATAAATTGGCATGTTTCAATTGTTGGTGTAAAGTAATAATACTCAAACAATAATGGCTGAAAATTAGTGCTCAGGCATGATCTAATAGTGGAGCTCCGCCAGCCCAAAGGGCCGCCAAGTGGAGCCCCATACTGATATAGGAAAGAAAAGGAAACTCATGAGTTGATTTTCTCATGGCTATCATGGCTAGCAGTATTGCTTGTGGGCGCTACGCACGGCAACGACAGAGTCATGCAACATGGTGGCCATACTCCAAATAATAGGTTGACAGGGTCATGCAGCCTTGGTTTACCGTGTACTTCTTTGATATTAGACATCCATGCTATGATCAATTGACACCTGTCAAAACAAGGTATCTGCTGACCAGTATCAGGTGAGCATATTGCCGGCTCAAGTTTACAGCTCATCGAGGTCACGTGTTTTTTGAAGTAGACCGCTGACCAAGTAATGTTTTTGAATGGATTGTGGGCTCATGTCAGGATAACTTGTTGAAAACCAGGCAGGATTGTTCGGAGGCCGGTTAAAACCCAGGATTAAAAGTTAACTGAATTATAACTTCTCCTATACAAATATCTTTTGCTGCTTTGTTTTGTGTATATGATGATTATTAAAACTCAAAACAGAAGGCCAAACAATATACAGAAAACCTCAAAAATTCTACCTTTTCCTGGGTTAGCTTAATAGGGCTTTGAACAACCCGGCCCAGGAGCTAAGTTTTTAGGCTGGCCTAAATCTATATATTACATGCTGAAGAAAAAGCTACATGTAGCCATTTCAAGAACACACTTTATATAAATCATATCAATGTAGTAAACATTAAAATGATAGACTGCTTTACCTTGTCTAATCTGTTTTCAAGAACTCTGATATATTTCTGAGTTCTCTTATTCTGCAGATGACTACTATGAACACTACAAAAAATAATTCAAAAGTATCACATGAATGGACAATTTTTGCATCAGCTCTTTAAACAAGTTCAGATATAAAGGATAGGGTTGAAACATTAGTCACACATGACTGTGTTCTTTCAGAAAAATCCATAAAATGAAGGGGTTTTGTTTGATCAACCACTCTCCCACTGGAAATTTCAGCATGGTTTCATGCTTTTCCATCCAAAAACATTTACACCTCCCTTTGGGAATTCCACAACCTCTGTGTGCTGAGTATGACCTGGTACTTCCTTCAATCACACATAATGAACCAGTCACATTTATTTATTTCTCCAACAAAAGCAACTTTAAAAAAAAATTACCGGTATATATTTGATGATTGAGGAACCTTAATTATTTTCAATTTTACACAAATTTATGTGACTCTACTAGCTGCCACACAATCATACAACAAGCCACTAAAAACTACATGTACATAAACATGTTGTACATAATTTTTGTACACTGTACTTGGCAATAAATTAACTACTTTCTTACCCTCCCATATTTTTTCTCTGTTGTTTAATCTTCTTCTCAATTACTCTTATCTGCAAAATTGATTTTAAAAAAATTAAACAAAGAACTTAATAATACTAAACCCTACAATATAAAGCGAAGTTTCTCTATGAACTCTCTTAAAGTCAATGATCGAAGCCTTCTCAAAATAATTAGTCCAAAAGTACATTATATCACAACCAAGTGTGAATATGGCAACTGTTTTTCTGATGTAACCAGAAAAACAACAAACTTGAAATTGTGTGGTTCCCGGTTGACCCCCCACCCCCCCAGGATTTTCCATCCCAGGGGGCTTCACAGTACTCCCCCCAACCCCTGGAATTTCCATGATTTTTCTACTTGGGCCCCCCTATCCCTTGGAAATTCCATATCCATAAAAAACAAGACTTAACTCATTAATTGTAATAAAATTTAGTTATAGTTACATTGAAGACAAAGATGTACTTTTTCACGCTAGACTGCACGCATGGCACGTTCCTTCATGTCATGTTAAAATGTTTGAACCGGAGTTTCAACTAACAAACAACTGACTTAGAAGTGCTTCACTCCCAAATGGCATAGCAGCTGACTTTTTCTTCACTAAAGGAAGTTTTCATGTAAGAATCTCGGAACGTAAATAAAGCTCTTTCAAATAACCCAGTCGAAGTTTTAATTTATGCATGGTCAAAACAACATATTGAATTACTTTACACATGTAGTAAAGTTGTCACGCAACATTTTTTTCAAATGTTGCTTTATTTTTTCTTTCACCAAAGGAATACATCAATTAAGTCATACGCTTTGTCTCTGTAGTTTGTAAATGATAGTAAATTCATTTTATGCCTTAGTTTTTTGAATTGTCATACATTTCATATGTGAAACACTCATTGTTCATTCAGTCTATAAATGACCAAATGAAATCTCGGCTACCGCTTAAACGCTCCTTGCTGTCCACATTTACATATAGTTCAAGACAAATGGCTTTGAATCGACTTTGCTCACTTAAAGCAAACTATTAACTACACGGATAACAATGAAAAATATGTGATAACCTAGTTACGGCAAGTCCAAAATGGGGAATAATTTTGTACAAGTATCAAACGAAATAAACAAAGTACGAATTGCATTTAATTGACGGCATGATTAATGCTGGAAAAAGCATCTGAGCTGCATGTAAGCTAAATACAGCACGATCCTCAAAGTATAAACTATCAACTTCATTGTTCATGTATTGCTGCGCCTCTTCGTCGGCATTTTGTTCAACTTGACATCCAACAAACACGATACTCAGGATTGCTGTCGGTTGTACGATGTCGGAAGAAAAATGGAAAATATAAAATATAAGAATCTAACATTTATTTCTCAACGGATGGAACATTTCTGTTGGTCTGGGTACCTGAATCAATTGGGAAAGTATGGTAGTGTTCATTCAATCGCATTTCAGACCCACCGGAAAGAAAACTCCTTGAGTAGCCCCCCTCCCCNGTACTCCTTTATATGGGCTAAATAGGTTTGTGCAGGAGCCCGATGGGCTCCTGGTATGTGCGGATACAAACTTCTGGAGCCATGCAATAAAAATCTGTTTATTAATCTTCATCACTGGCATGAGATAAACAAAGTCATTATTATTACCTGATCATCAAGTGTTGTTATATCTTGGGTCACGTCATCAAGCTGTTCCTTGAGTTCATCTGCATTCAAAAAATATCTTTGCTCAAAAATGGTTTTGGTGTAACAATTTTTTAGCCTGTTTTGCTAAATCAACTTTTCTTTTCTCACATTGCAGTAATTAATTAATTAAATAATTAATTAATTGTAATTAAATCTGATACAGACATGAGGTGTATTTGTATTTCTTTTGTGGTGCACCACATGGTACATATAGTCAAGAGAGACACATCTACCTGAAAGTAATTTGTATTACATAATAGCCATCAAACAAAATGTTTTGAAAGTGATAACAACGTATAGCCAATGCAGGTAATCTGTAATTAAACTTACCTTCCTTAGTTAGAAGAATACTCAATTTGTCTGTATTTGATCTGTCCTGAAATTGACAAAGTACCAAAGGATAAAATAATACTTAATTCAAACAGAACACTTAATTCAAATGTAATCTTTTTACAACCTGCATAGTGATAGAATGTAGTGATACAAAATTAATGTAGACTAAAGCCTGACAGGAAACTTATTATTTTAATTATACATGTATACCACTTGACAAACTGGGAACAATGGCTTATTTGACAGAGACAGAAGGCAAATTTCACTTCAGTAATGTAAAGAACCTATTTGAAAGTTTGTAACATCTCGTAAACTGAGCTGAAGGTGTTGAAAATTATCCTATCTATGGAAGCATCAGGAGGGTGCATAGTCCCTATCCTGGATTATAGGGGTTTGTTCTGCTCCAAAGGGGTCTTTTTTCAGTCTGGACGTATACATTTGTAAACTTTCCAAGGGCAGGGTTTTCACAAGCTGAAGTATAGAAAAGGGTAGGAATCAGAGTGGTTTGTGTCAGTCACTGAACATGAAATTATGCTGAAGCCGCTGAACCATGAGTGTTAAGGCCATTAAACTGGACTATGTCATTTTTTTTTATTACTGGACATACACATTTTTTTGTAAAAAAAATTATATTACTGTTAAGATATTTATTTGACTGCACTACATAGTATGTATGGCATGTGCAGGTTACAAAAGGGGTTGTGAATGGTCCTTCAAAAACTCTGGATCTAGCAAAATTTTAGTCGAATTGCAAGAGTCTTGCAGTCTTGTTTTTTAGTAGTTATGTGAGTCTCGCAGTCTTGATTTTTATACGAAGCTGTCTCCGAGTCTTGATGCACTTATCTGTTTTTATACACGACATCTTTTCATCACTTGATATTGAATTTCAATGGAGCAACTGACAAATTTTGGAGAAAAAGTTAAACACAACTTCTCCTAAATTGTCTGAATTCCAAAAAAACTACAAAACCTCCTGCACGTCCATTTTGGAGCAAGAAAAACAGTTATTTTGTTCTAGGATATCATAACGTAGTGTGTTATAATCAAATTTCCACTTCCAGCAAGTTCAAAGAAGCTGGCAGTCTCGCAACCTTAAAAGTAAAAAATGTCTCAGGCTCGCAGAGAAAAACGCTTGTTTCGCTGTCTCACAAAGTCTTGCATTTACCATTCGCTGTCCCTTACAAAACAGACCAACCAAAAAAACCATAAATATTGATGGTCTGTCTAATGTTAATACCTGGTTCTGATTCTGTATACTTCCAGCCAAGGTGTTATCTTTCATCAATTCTTCATTTTCACTCTCAAGGGAACGGATGGCTTCACTGTAATGAAAGTGAAAGACCATGACCTTACATGTATTCTTTTATCCAAGATGAATTGAGTGATTCCAGAAAAAATCCATACCCATACCACGGGTGGCTTCTTGGACTGGATGCATGGGAGGGGGAGAATTCAGCTCTAAATCTTGACTGAAAATTGTAAACAGAATTTTCTTAGAGGGGGGGGGG